AACCATCTAAAAACCAAAAAACGTGGATAAATTAATTAATTAAATTAATTTGGGTAGTTAAATTAATTTGTGAAATATTTTTTATGTTTTCAATAATTACTGATATTGTTGAATATTATTTAGCAAATATCAACACCTAAACTATAATTTTTTCATAATTTTGGTAAATTGAGAATTTTAATTAATAAGAATTACTTGCTGAAAATTACTGAATTTTTTAATTTAATTTCATAATTTTTTGAAAATTAATGATTGAAATCAATAATTACTATAAAATTAATAATTAATTAAAATATTAGTAAATAACTTTAATAATTAAAAATTATCAGTAATTTTTAGAAAAAAGTGGTTATTGATATTTTCAGTAATTTTGGTCAATTTACTAATATCTAATGATATTATTAAACAATAATTTAAAAAATTCAGTAATTTTTTAGTGGAAAATTAATTTCAATAAATATAAATTTATTTTTTATATTTTCAGTAATTTTGATATTTACTATATGTTTTTAGAAATAAATAGTGATTTTGTTAATTTAGTGAATTTTAAATTATAAAACTTCCAATTTTTCAAATAAGTAATTAGAAAATTTTAGTAGTTTCCATAAGTATTGGATACTACATTTATAATTACCATAATTAATGAAACTATATTTATGGGTTTGGGGGTGTTATAGGTTTAGGGGATGACACCCAGGGTAGGAATGGCAATGGGCAAGTTCGAGGTAGGGATCATACTCCCCATCTCAACCTCAAGTTTTAAACTAATCCCTATCAAAAATTTTAGCATGCCCGATCCTTGGTAAAGAGGACTTCCCCATCGGAGACTTGAGTCCCCGAATTTTTTAATTATAACTTTGTTTTTAGAAAGGTATTTATTTAAAATAAAGAAAAAATTAAAATGCAAATAATATTTTAAATATATTTTGATATATACAATATAAAAAAAATATATTATAAATAACATAAATAATATATGTAATCAAGGTTGGGGCCCCACTAAAGCAATCTCCATCCCATCCCTACCTGATCAGGGAGGCCAAGTACTTTGCAAGGATGGAGAAAATTACCATCACTACCCCCGGGTTGTGTAGCTCCATAGAACAATTATTTATAAGTTTTTCCAATATCATATCTTTCCAGCATCGTAATCGAGCCCTTTTATTATTTCATATATAAACAATTGTATACATAAAAATTCATATAAAATAAAATTTTAAGTTTTTTTTCAATTTCTTATCTATCTTATTAATTTATTTTAACTTTTTTATTATATTTTTATCATTTTTCTAAAAAACTCATGCTACCCACGACCAGGCTCGACTTGACAGGGAACCATATGGGCTTGTGCAGGGCTTCCTCTTTCAAGGGTTCAGGGCCAAGCAAGCATGGCCCAACCAAGCCCGCACGTCGACATGATACGGCCTGTTACAATGTGGGTTGCGGTTTGGGTGGATTCAAATTGGGCTTTTGTCAAAAGTTGAATGAGGACGGCCAAAAGCCTGAGTGGTGTAAAATGTTAATTCGAGCCAACCCGAAAAAATCTCAGTTGACATGTGGTATGCATGTTTGGTGTTGATCGATCAGTGTTTTGTTTTTTTTAAACGAAAATGAAAATAAGAAGATAAAAAAAAGATTTCGGATTGTGAATGGTGCCTCTGCATACAAAGTAGTTAAAAAGTATTCTCTCTCTCCCTACAAAATTTTGGATGGATGGGTTTGGACCAAGAAAATTACTGGACAGGCCCAGTAATTCAGTTTGATTAATTGTATTACATTTGCGTAGGAATCACCATGTGAGCCCTACTTTTAGACTTAGGAGAGGGGTGCCTAACTCCTTCCTTCTCCCATCCGAGTTTTATCCAGGATAGTTTAGTCGGTGCTTCGGGCTTTGGAGTCACTACAAAGCGATAAATGATTTTAATACCCTTCCCGAAGGTCCCATTACCTCCATTTCCACAATTGATGGGTGGCAATTCCATTTCCAACCCAATAAGTGTGGAATCAATTGGAGCTTTTGTGTTCTAACCTTAGTGATCCTTATCTTGTTCTAGGAGACTTCAATTTAATTAGCAAGGCAGATGAAAAATTTGGTGGCCTGCCTCCAGATAGGACTCAAATGCGCTTGTTTAATGATATGATTTCAAAGTGTGGGTTAATTGATATTGGATTTTAAGACCCTAAATACACATGGACCAATGGTCAGGAAGGTCACGATCTTGTTATGGAGAGGATTGACAGGGCATTATGTTCTTCTCAATGGATTCACAATTTTCCAAATGCTGTTGTGAAGAACTGCATTGTTGCTAGGAGTGATCATCTACTTGTTGTACTTTATACTACCCCCACTCAAAACAAAAGAAGAAAGCAATTTCAAATGGAGGGCATCTGGTTGAAAAGAAACATGCTTCAATCAAGAGCTTGTCAGAATTTGGAAAGAGTGTAACGGTAATTTCCTCCAAAAATGTCATTCTTGTAAATTCGAAATGGCTAGATGGGGCAAGAGCAGACTGGGTAATTTCAAGCATCGAATCAACCAAATTGAACAAAAATTACTTCACCTTCATTTGAAACCACCCACTAATTGCAACCAGATGGAAGAAATAAATTTACGAATGGAGCTCAATTATCTTTTGGAGACATAGGAGCTGTTCTGAAAGCAGCGCTCTAGGTCTGATTGGCTGAGGGATGGGGCCCACAACATAGCTTATTTCCACATCCAGGCCTCCAATCAGAGGTGGAAGAACACCATATATGGGCTTTATAATGAGCACGGTTGTTGGCAGATTACTCCTTTGATGACTTAAGGAGAAATTGGGTTGCAGCGGCTACTACAGTCTCCACCAAGATCAAATTACAAGTTGAATGGAATCCCCCACCGGATGGTGTGGTAAAATTGAATTTTAAATGGAAGCTGCCAAGGTAATCCAGGGCCATTCGGGATCGGTGGGATTCTGAGAGACAAAGACATCAGTATGTTGTCTCTATTTTCAGGACCAGTGGGTGAAGGTGATTCAGTAAGGGCAGAACTACTAGCAGCGGTACAAGGCTAGTCAAATTGGAGTGAACAATCTGTTAGTAGAAGGGGATTCCAAAGTAGTAGTAGGCTGGTTGATTAGCCCAGAAACAGCTAGTTGGGGCTACAGGGATCTGTTAAAGAAAGTTAAATGGATGACAAGGAATATGACTGTCAGGTTTCAGTGGGTCAGAAGATCAACAAATGCAATGGCTGATTCTCTGGCCAAGCAAGGGGTGTCAAGGGGAGATCTGTTTTGGGCTACTTTGTAAATGTGTCTCAGGCTTGGGCAGTTTTGGTGTATATGGTTGGGGGTGGGGGTAACATCTCGTGCATCCTCCTAGGCTGATTGTATTATTGTTTTCTGAATTAATAAAACTACTCTTATTTATCAAAAAAAAAGAGTCTTTAACCATGTTTTGATACCAAGTAGAAAAGTTTTGATAGCTGTTTTGATATAAACTTCGTGAAAAAGAAGAAAGAAGGAAAAAGTTTCTGAAGCCAAGAAAAAATCGGATCTGGCTGCCCCTTTCTTATTAATTATATATACAAGTATGCCCTTAGTAGGTTGGCTACTTGTAAGAAGCTAAAAACCCACTTAACATAAAATAAACTAATGGGCCTAAAGCCCAATAACTTCCTAACTGAATTATGTAAATAAAAATAAATAAAGTCGGCCCAATAACTCAACCAAATACAAATGGCTAACAAGGAATGTCTGTAACAATACAGTGCATTGGGGGATCAGCTAATGCATTTACTGATGTCTTCACAAACCAATGGACAAATAGGAAACAGTGTTTTGGCTCAACTGTAATTTTGTATTAGCACTCTTGTACTTTTTGCTTTAGTTTATGTGCATTCTGTTTGGAGAAACGGCACCTCGCGCCTCTCTAAGGGTATGTTCATGTAATCAGTCTTTGAATTAATGGAATATGATATTTTATCTATCAAAAAAAAGCTCATAATCATGTATCCAACATGACAGGGCCAAGCACATGGGAATGGACAAACATTTTATTAGAGAAAAGTTGGAAACAAGCAAAATATGTATTCCATATGTTAGTTACTTAAATCAGTTGACTGATATATTCACAAAAGGTATAACTACCCAACATCACAATGATCCATCTAATATGTTGGAGATGATTGATGCTTATGACCCAACTTGAGGGAAGTGCTTTAATATGTATGTTTAGTGATGCAAGGGTATTATTGTCCTTTCAACCTAATTTATATTCACTAATAAAATTATGAGTAGGGGCTGCCACTTTCTCTTTTGGCTCTCCAATCTCGTCTTTTCCATTTTTGCCTCTCCTTCACTTCTTCCAAGGTTGCCTTTAGTAAATCAAGGCAATTGAACAAGTGGGTATGGGTTATCATGCATCACCCCTTGCCTATTCATAATCCTATTCGGTCAAGAATCTAGAAACCGTTTCACCCCCTTCCTCATATGGCGCATCAAGTAGCTCATGGTGCAGGTTACTCTGCACTTCAACCACCATACCGTTATCCTATGGACATCATCCTCTTTTATTTCTCCCTCAATATGAATAACTGATCAAAGGAACAAGGTTGAATTAGTTTGGGAAATCTACTAGTGCAAAAGGCTTTAGACTACATAACAGCATTTCCTTACCATTGCCAAAGCCCACTCATTTTCAGCTTTGCTATTTCCTTTGCGAATCAACCATACACAATTGCAAATTCATTCCAATGCATTGGGAACCAAAGGACAATCACGTCATGACATGACAACTTAGAAGGAATTCAGAAAAATAATAAGAAAACAAGAACAAATCAAATATTACGAACCAAGTGAAATTGTACAAATCCCGACCGCAGGAAAAAAAAGTTAAGAATTCATGTTCAATTCAAAACATGCTACATATGCCTAATATTTGAAAAGAAAGTTATGACCAAAACAATAATGAAAGGGTTAAACTAAGCACATTAAAACGGGCAGGAATAATGAATGGTGTACCTGTAACAACGATAACAAGAAGAACAGCGAAGGCAATGCTTCCCCTATCATACCAGCCCTCCTTAATACCTACCCTATATTAGATAGTAGAATGGCAAAAATATCGATCAAAACAAATAACATAGATTTAAGCATACACAGTGTTTTAAAAGCACAATGCACAAGAAAAGCACAAAGGCCTTCTGATGCTTGAGTGCAATGGCAAGGCAAGGCATGCACACTTTTAAAACAAGGCAAAAATCTTTTAAGAAATTCAAAAAAAATACAAAACAATATAAATATAATACAAACTAAATTTTTTGCAATTAAATATTTAGAAACCATTTTGCTCAAAACTAAAATACAGAAGCATAACATATAAAACACATATGAGTGAAAATGCCGAAGTGAAGCAAACATGTGTGTATCGTACCAAAGTGCTTCAAGCATCAACAGCATAAACTTCCAATGTGTTTATTTATCTCCTAGTTACATTACTTCAAGTAATGCAAGCCCAAGGAAGTAACTAGCGTGTTGTTAACATCTTGCACTCCTGATCCTAGGAGATTAGTCCACCACCTCCATAAGACCTTATGAAGCAAGTCCATGTGGGGGTTTGGAGAAATGCATCCAACCTAAAACTAGAACAGATGCATGATTGGCAGTGGATAATTCATGGAGGTCTTTCTCTGGATTATAGACTCATTCAAAGCAACAACCTAGAAATAGATCCAATGGTTGATAAAATGATGGAAAGTAGAATAAGATTGTTTGGTCACATGCAAAGAAGACCATTCACCAAATGGTAAGCTTTGTCTATGTCTAACTTACAACTAAACCAATACTTCCTCAACACTTCCAACAAAAAAAAAAAAAAAAAAAAAAAAAAACCAAATCACAAGTTTTTTTCTGTGCCTAACTTACAAATTGCATCTTCACCTCTTCATACACCCATTCATTACAAGAAATTGATCTGCTATTTGCCTACTTTGCACAAAGGCTCCTTGATTGGGTGTGGTAATCTAAGGGAGGAGACTGTTTAACCTTAAAGACAAGACCTTAGCAATGATTTTATAAAGACTGGTTGCCAGACTAGTACATCTGAAATCTTTGGGTTGAAAGGCTCCCAGATTTTAATCAAGGCAAAGAACATTCACTCCCGACCCAAGCTAGTTACTCCCCTCTCAAAATATTCTCCAAAGACATCCAATAGATCACACTTTAAAATGTCCCAATAATCTAGAAAGGAAGCCATGGTAAAACCATGCGGCCTCAGGGCCTTTGATCTATCGATGCAAAAAATAGCCCCCCTTATTTCCACCATATCAAAATGCCCTTCTAGCATCTCCTTATACCCCCTGCTTAAATTCAGCCATTCCAAAACTAAATAGATTTGATGTGATTTACAAAATTCCTAGCCATCTCCTGTGGACTAATCAACTACCCCCCCCCCCCTTTCAATCTCCAATCAGGACACCATTATAGGCAAGGCAACCGATTATAGGCAGATGTCTAGATATAAATTTGGTTGGCATCTCCTTAATCCATTTATATCTAGACACCTGCCCCCAACTAACATCTTTGTATAAAATGTCCTTAAGCTAACTCTTAAACTCCCATCTTGATTCATCATCTTCTTCCCTAAAATTTCCTAAAACCAACAACCAAGAATAAAATAAAACGAGAACAAAATTTCATGACATATGCAACAATAATATTAATATAACTCCATCATTACAAGTAACAAAAGAAACAAAACATATCATCTAATAGAGAAAGTGGTGATAAATGGCAAGCTTTCTCTCAGTAAAGTGTTCAGTTATAAAGGACAAATATGAGATGTAAGCATACATAATATTGCTGTACAGAAAAAGCCTAAAATAAAACACAAAGAAAAGCAAGAAAATCAAAATCAAGATCGTTACCAATGCAAAGCATTTAACTCTAGGAAAATAAATGCCTTACATTTATCATGTACAAGAATATTTTAATCTTAATACTGGAACATTAAGAAAAGGAATACCATTTACTCGTTCCCCAGCCTCTCTGAAAAGAAATGCCGCCTAAGAAAATAAGAACTCAAAGTTTAGAGAGTAACAAAACAACCACAACTGCACGAAAGGATATCTTTCAGATAAGTAACATTACTCGAATGACTTGCGCATGTGCTCTAACCTTCCTTCTCATTTGCTCTTTCTCCTCTTCCTTTTTTCAAGTCCAAAGTGTATCGGAATCGGCGAGAAGCATTAAGCACAAGAGCCACTTGCTGCACGAAACAAAACCAGTCAAACTTAATAAAAAAATAAAATATGCATACTTGGTCTCAACTATATGACACTTTATCAGAAATCAAAAAATAACGACTAAACAACAACAAAACACATAAAACCACCATGTATACAGTTCAGGTGGTGTTTGGAACCAATGCCATTTCCTAGGAGGTGTTTTTTGAGGAAGTGCTGCATTGGCATGTCGTTTTCTCAGAAAACGTTTTTTTACTTTATTTTCTATTTTGTACCATTGCTGTTGCTGCCACATAGGCGTTTTTCAATGCCGTGTCAGCATGTTGTTGCTAGCAACAGTAAAAAAAAAAAGAGAGAAAACACCAAAAAGGCTGTTTTCACAGACCACACCTTTCTTGAAAATTAGAACATAAACTGATGCAATGTGGACCATCACTTATGTTTATAGCAGTAAGAACCCACACCCACAATCCAAGAAGTATGACCTACCAATATGGCAAAAATCTATGATGCCTCACCTAGGGAGTTACAACATCAAACTTATGATTGACCATCATTTATGTTTATAGAAGTAAGAACCCACACCCACAATCCAAGAAGTATGACCTACCAATATGGCAAAAATCTATGATGCCTCACCTAGGGAGTTACAACCTCAAACTTATGATTGGTAGGATTTATTAAAACTGATTTAATCAGAGAACAATCTCCTCAATCTAATATTGTCCAATTGCTATTTTTAATCGCCTTATCTGAGTTTTTTAGAAGCAACATTACTTCACAATATTTTAGAGTTAAAGACAACAGAAAAGCCCAATGCATAAACAATATGTTAATGGATATTGGGAACTTGCCAACACAAGCTGAAACAGTTAAGAAAGAAAAAGTCTAACTAGATTTATTTACAAGCATTGTTGGGTTTGCAATTTGATGTGCCACCATACTAGATAAAGAATTAACAAAACCGATTGTGACACGATTTGCAACATTTTTTTTGAAGAAGGTAAAGCAAACCCAACAGCCACCCAAAGCAAACCTCCAGTATTCAACAACCAAGGCCTCACTCCACCTGTCACTATCCCCACCTTCCCAACTCAATCCAAACTTTTAGCAGCACCTCCCCACAACCTCCCCAGGAGTAATTAAATCATCTCTTCTCACCCTTTTCCAAATCCATAAAAGTTTTCCTGGCAAATTCATCCCCAAACAAAAAGAAGAGATGCAATAGTTTGTGGACATACTCTCCTAACAGCCAACTAACCATAAAATCTGGTTACAAACAGATACGAATGCAAAAGGCACAAAAGTCTACAGTCAGTAATGCCTTCAGGAATGTTTCATGGAGGAAATTCTGGGAAATTAAACATTTACAATCCCCAATTCATCTATTTCTCTGGCATTACATACATGGCATGCTCCAATAAAAGTTGAACTCATGAATAGATGCCAATGGATCGACCGTTGCTGCCAATTGTGTGGAGAGGCATCTGAAACATTGGACCACTTATTTATACATTGTGATTGTGCTTCGACAGCCTGAAGGTCAGTTCCTTACACTTAATTTGATGGCGCTACTAAAACTCACTCATCGGGGCTGGGCATGGTTATTCATGGGGAGCTTTTTGCTTTGGTCGTGTATTGTGGATTCGTGTGCACTCAACATGTTAAACAGAGGCTTTAGCATTGGTGATTCAAGCACTATCTGAGGACAACTCTTATTCTCCTTGGCACATATGTCATTGAATGCAGAACTTTATTACATAGATTTTTCCCGTTGCTCAGATAATTTTTCATCCAGATCAACCAATTCTTCTTCTTACTTGGAAGCAAAATATGCTCGATTATTTCTTGCCAGACTTGGGCTATGACTCCAGGGTTCCTGTCTGATTGTATTGTAAATGATATTTCACTGAACAATTGAATGAAGATCGCCTGGTTAGGCTTCCCAAAAAAATACAATTGTCAACCATAAACCCTAAAACTGTACTACCATAGGGCCACAGCACTGTCAATTAGTCAACAAAAAACAGCAATAATCCAAATAATATCAAACTAATTCATTCCATTCCAACATAAGTAATGAATGTATGCACATTTTCAAAATAACCTTATAGGCGTTTTATCAACATCAACACAACCATAGATAGCCAACGAAGCCAATACGGTGCGTAATTAATTTGAATGCTTACCCTCCATCGCTTGAGTCGTTCCAAGGAAGCGTTCTTGGTAGTCTTGTACACAGTAAAAATCTGACTTGTTTTTATCAACACAACCAAAGATAGCCAACGAAACCAATGAAATGCATAATTAATTTGAATGCTTACCCTCCATCGCTTGAGTCGTTCCAAGGAAGCGTTCTTGGTAGCCTTGTACACAGTAAAAATCTGACTTGTTTTTATCAACACAACAAAAGATAGCCAACTAAACCAATGAAGTGCGTAACTAATTTGAATACTTACCCTCCATCACTTGAGTCGTTCCAAGGAAGCGTTCTTGCTAGTCTTCGTATCAAAGGGGTCTGAGGAACATTCAGCATCGTCTTCTTCACATCCCCTTCCATGGCTTACACCAGATTCCAAGTCATATCGGTGATGGTACGGTGAGGAACCTCTGGATGGACCATTGCTCGTGGCTGTCGCAGGAGAGATGACACCGGCTGTTAAATCTTTAGGCGGGCAGTAGGAAGATGTTGGTCAGACTAGGGAAAACCCTATTTTTTTATGTTATGTTCATACAGTATATGGTTTTCCTGCAAAACAGTTAGGGTTTCTTAGTTTCGACTTTGGTGGTGGTGTTCGTGCTCTGAATATAATGTTTTGACCTTCAGTATTACATACCTGCGTGCTTAACAGGTTATAAGCCGGCGGTTTGGAAGTACGAATCTAGTAGTTCGCTGAGCAGGATTAACATCCGATTCCTTTTCCTGTCTTCCACATTCACTGCGACTAGAAACCAGAAAGACAAATGTGAAGCTTCAATGAACTTTCTGTCGTGATTCGTGAATCGTGAAATGCCGGTGGAGTTCACATCTGCGCCCCACTACGGGGCGCCCCACAATGGCCCACAGTACATCCCCACCTTATATTGGGAATATCTCCAGATGATGTTAGCGAGAGATGTTCCCAATACAAGATAGAGATGCAGTGTGGGGGCAAAATCTTCTTGTGACAATACAAGGTACAGAGTTCACATCGGCGCCCTACAATGCCCCCATACCACAGCGTAGATTTTGACTGGTCAAAGCTATTAAGATACCGTGTCTTACCGTAGATTTTCTCCATTATTATACAAGTGTGAGTTTATAATGAGTTTGTCGACACAACTTTTGTATATTTGATTAATATAAAATATAGAGATAAATTACAAAAATAAATTTGTAATAAAGATTTGAATTTTCTTTGACAATGGTCGTCAACGTATTTCTCGTAATTCTTGAAGTGTTGATGTAGATTTCCGTGTTTCTTAAGATTAGATGTAGATTTTTTCATTCAAAGCTTTGTGCCTTATCGGTTGTGAATGATTCTTCTCTAAGAATGGCCCTATTTTGGTGGCTTGATTTTCTTGGGAAAGCTTGAATCCAAGTGTATTGTAGAGGACGAATAAGTTTTTTCCTTATTTCTTATCTCTTGATCTTGCTGCTAGAATTTGTATAAGTGTGTGGTTGTTTGTAATGTTGGTGTCTAAGAGCTTCTTGCAATGTGATTTGTTGAAAAAAATGGAAAACTCCTTCTCTCTAAGCAAGGCTATTTATAACCTAGGATTAGGATTGCCACCTCAACCCACTTTGATAATCAATCCCATGTGACTGGGGTGTTGGGTTAGAGTTAACTCCCATATATATATACATATATATATATATATATATACATACATACATACATACATATATATGGACTACTTATAAAAGTGTGAATGATGAGGTATTGACTTCTGAAATTTTTCTTTATTGAAATATCCCTTTTCTTGAAATTTGTTCATCTCCATTGAAAGGGTAGAAAATGTAATTAAAAAAAATTATTAAATGCATTCAATTACCTCTCATTAAGTCTCACATTTAAGTCATTAAATAAATCACATTCTCTCACATTGAATCCAACATTTATAGTTTTGTTTATCATCATTAAATTCCACTAATAAATCCATATACAATAATTATTAATATAATGAAATTTTATATTTTTAAAATATACATAGAAATGAAATCATACTTTTTCGATTGATTTTAAATCATGGATTCCATTTTCACCATTAATAAAAGTAATTCTTATTTTCATATTTATTTTTGTTTAATATGGTGAATATATAATAATATAATTGTATTAAAATGCTTTATACAATGCTTATATTTTTTTGATTTTATGTATTTACGTGTTTAATCTTCGTTACTTAGTCATGACATTATAGATTGATCCATTTGACCCAAAATGTTAGATCATTGACCTACATATGATCTAGATTTGGAAATGGTTTCATTTTCAAACTGATTTTAAATTTTGCATTTCATTTATATCATTGATAAAATAATTATTATTTATCATACTTATTTTTGTTTATATTATTATTATATAATATTATAGATGTGCTCAAAATCGTTTCATATTTTTGGTATTATTCTATTTAAAAAATTTATTTTTAATTATATACCATGGGTTAACCTATTTGACTTGAAATGTTGAACCACTAACCCACCCCTAGATATGAAGATGGTTTAATTTCTAATCGGTTTTAAGTTGTATATTTGATATCCATCATTAATAAAATTTTGTCTATTTTATCATAGTTATTTTTAATATGACAAATATATAATAATAGAAATGTATTCATGTTTTTTCAATTTTTTCTATATTTTTTGCATTTTTATATTTCTAAATTTGTATTATTTATTTATGATATCATGAAATTATCAATTTTACCCAAATGGTTAAAATACTTACCCACGACCTAGGTGGAAAATATGATTTCATTTCTAGGTTTATTTTAAAAATAGAAAATTTCTTTCTATTTATAATTATTGTGTATAGATTTATTAGTGGAATTTAATGATGATAAACAAAAGTATTTTTTATATTTCTAAATTTGTATTATTTATTTATGATATCATGAAATTATCCATTTGACCCAAATGGTTGAACTAATTACCCACCACCTAGATGATAAATATGATTTCATTTCTATATCTATTTTAAAAATATAAAATTTCATTCTATTAATAATTATTGTATATAGATTTATTAGTGTAATGATGATAAACAAAAGTATAAATATTGGATTCAATGAGAGAAAATGTGATTTATTTAATGACTTAAATGTGAGACTTAATGAGAGGTAATTGAATGTACTTAATGATATTCTTTTAATTACATTTTCCGCCCTTTAAATGGAGATTAACTAAATTCAAGAAGAGGGGTATTTCAGTAAAGAAAAATTCCATAAGTAAATACCTCCTCATTCACACTTTTATAAGTAGTACTAGTAATTAAGCAAGTGCGTTGCATGTATGAATTTTTTTCATATTAATTACTTTAATTTTAGATATATCATAGTTCGGATAGAAATTAAAAATTAATAAAAGTATGTTAAAATAAACTTAAATACTTTTACTAAATGTGCACCTACAAAAATTTTAAATTACAAATTTTGTATTCCATTTTTGTCTTAAATAAAAATAACTTTTATTTTAACGATTATTTTTATTTAATATGATGAATATATAACATTAGAAATGTTTTGAAATGTCTTTGACAAAACTCTATACTTTTTTAATCTTTTGTGTTCTATCTTTTTGTAAATATGTATTATTTAATTATGACATCATGAATTTCTTTGAAAAGTTGGATCATTGACCCACCATTTAAATAAGAAAATAACTTTGCTTTTGGATTAGTTTTAAATTATATATTTCATCTACATTATATACATATTTTTTACTTATCATACTTAAATTTTGTTTGACATAATTAATATATAACTTTTATATATTTTTTGATTATTTGTAATTTTTTTTATTATTTTTTAAATATTTATTATTTAACTATTATATCATCGATTAATCTATTTGACCCAAACCACTAACCCACAACCCAAAAAGAAATATAGTTTGATTTCTAGGTTGACATTAAATTTTGTATTACATTTCCATTATTGATAAAATTATATCTTTTGTATAATATTGATTTTTGTAATTCTTTGTATTTTCTATTTTTAAAAATTTATTATTTGACTATGACATGATTTCATTTCTAGGTTGATTTTAATTTTGGCATTCCGTTTTCATCATTTACAAAAACACTTCTTACATTTCATACTTAGTTTTATTCAGTATAATGAATATACAATATTAATGACATGCCCAATTCTTTTTATTTTTTATATTATGTATTTTATTTATTTTAATTTTTATTATTTATAATTATGACATTATTTATTAATGGATTTGACCCTAAATGGTTGAATTGCTTACCCGCAACTTTTGTACTAGAAGTCCAACTAGAAGTCTTGGACTTCTAGTACAATACAAACACTTCCCCACAACTTTTGTATAAATAGTCCTTGCCACACTGGTAGGGTTTTATTTTTTTGTTGATGCAATATTGGAAGCCACCAAATCTTTATCATATGAATTCTTTTGGTTGAGATTGCAAGTTATCGTTGAAAATTACAGCTTCATAGCAGGTCCTTTTTCTTTAGTTCGTTGTTGAGACCAAAGTCAGAGAACCAGGTGAGTGTTCTTTCTTTGCAGAGGACGTTCTTTTTCTAAATTTTGAGAGGGGGAAAGTTGGTCAATGGGATTTTGATTCCCATTGATAAAAAATCCCATGTTCTTTTTTTTTTCAGATTTATGTGGGGATGAGGGTGAGTGATACTCATCTCCTAGTGGGTAAATAACTTTCCCAACTTGGGGGAAAGTTGCGAACACTTGAAAGGGACAAAAATGGTCATTACCTTATTTACATGGGAAATAAAAGAACATGGGTAAATGCACTTACCTAGGTAAATCTTTCCTGAGAAACAATTACCTAGGTAAGTGCATGTACCTAGGTAAGTAACTTACCGAAATGCAAATGAGGCCTTACAGTTAGTGGTTATTTTCCCCTTCTTCTATTGATGTTGTCTCACATGACTATGATTTGCACATTTTCCAATATTGCTACATAAATACTTAATCCCCAAATGTCATCCATGTGCTTAAGTTTAATTGATGCCAAATTTCTTTCCTTTTGTTGATTCTTTGTTGTCTCATGGTATTTTAATTCAATGATTCAGCAATACTTGTTTTCTTTGTTGCACATTTTCCTTTTAACCCTCTTCATGGTACCAACATCGTCCTAGTCCTACTCACCACCATGGGCATATTATAATGGATTGATATATCCTTTTTTGGTCATCTAGTCAACTCTTTACCCAAAAACAAGAAGTGGCTCTTCACATTCTAATTTGATCCACTTCTAAACAATGATTAGGCGGTTCTGGTGCTTTCCATGGAAACTGGGTCGACACATGATTTGGATGAACTGAGGACAACTAGCATGAAGTGCTTATGAGATTGAAGCTTCTATTTAGAGACACTTTTAATAATTGTTGGTTACATAGTGATTTTCATTTCCCCTTTATTAATGGTCCTGAAGCTATGCATCTCAACGTGTAACAATCTGCTTAGATAGCCCTCATTTCCTTCTGATTTTTTTCTTTTGTGAGTGAATGGTGGACCTCGGCTTACAAATTGGGATTCTGGATTTTGTAAATCCTCGTCTTTCAACTAACTTCAACATAGTAGGTCTCTTTGTACTAACAAAAACCAAGAGTCCAACTATTTTCTTATCCCCATGATCACTAATGTCATTTGGGCTTTAAGAAGGCAAAATGTGATTGGACTGGGTGTCTTTTGTGGACTACTCAATTGCCACAATTACAAATGTGTAGATAGTTAAGTGAAGTTTGTGATACAAAAGCATAATATCCACTCCCATTCTATGCTTCTCTTCTTCCTCTTTT